TTCTTCCACAGGCTGCAGTCCTTCAGGAACAGACTGCTCCAGTATGGGCTTCCCATGGGGTCACAGCCTCCTTCAGAGCAGCCACCTGCTCTGGCATGGGGTTCTCCACAGGCTGCAGGTGGATCTCTGCTCCACCATTACCTCCACAGCTGCAGGTGGATCTCTGCTCCAGCACACCTCCTCCCCCTCCTTTCTTCACTGACCTCAGTATCTGCATAGTTGTTTCTCTCACATCCCACTCCTCTCTCAACTGCAGGTTTAGTGCAGGCTTTTTTTCCCCTCTTAAATATGTTATCACAGAGGTAGATCCACTGTCACCGACTGGGTCGGCCTTGGCCAAAGGAAGGTCTGATTAGGAGCCGGGGAAGCTTCCAGCAGCTTCTCACAGGAGCCACCTCTGCAGCCCCTCTCTGCTCTACCAAAACCCCGTCACACAGACCCAGCACAAGTTCAAGTAAAGAACAGCCATAAATACCTATTTTAAAAATTAAAAAAAGCAAACTGTGGTTTACTCCAGTAAATAAGGTGCTTTTCATATACGACTGATACTTTCACAGGACTGTGGAAATTGAGTCATATTTCTACATTAATCTTGACAGAATTAAAGTAATTTCATAATTGCTTAAAATGCAATGGATAAAATATTTTCTTGACAAAATAAAGAACTTAATATTGTTCTTAACACAGAAACTAGAAGCGCAAAAAGCTCATGGAGATTAGATGTAGTAAAATAATTTTCACTTCTTTCTATAATTCTTTCTATATAACTATTAAATTTCCATCTAGAAGACTGAAACCATGGCTGTCGGCTGAACTGGATGCTGTTTTTCCATCAGAGACATGACTGGGGAAGACTGACAACCGTTTCCAACTACCACCAGTACTAAAATATTCAGCCAAAGGTCAAACTTAATTTTCCCTTTATTCCTTTTAATAACTTCCACATGTGAATTTATTCAAACATCTCTCAAGTATTGTTTATATTTTAAGAATACTGAGACAAAAGAGGAATTTTATTGTTTCAGGGTTAATGAGTCTGTGGCAGATCTAAGAGCGAATGCTAGAGCTCAATCCCAGTTCAGCATTAAATACAATATCATCATTCTTTCCTCCTGTGAGAAACTTGACAAAGTAACTCTTCTTTAACAACTGAATTAAAAAAAAATAAAATTAAAATAATAAATTCCTATTTTTCATAAAAAAAGGTCAGAAGGCATTCTTTTGTTTGTTTTCTTTAATTTGATTGTCACTGAGTTTAGAAATATAAGAACTATTAGTAAATATAGTAACTATACAAACCAATACAAAAATATGAAGTATATGTTCAAGTATGTGCATACATACACTTATCCAAACAATGTAAAAGCAAGAGGTTTTTGGCTGAGAAGAAATTACTGTGATAAAATTCAACTCTGACCTGCAGCATACACATCTATATCACTCCAGATAAGGTACCATATTCTGCCCGGAGAGGAGTGTGAAGGTCACCAGGAAGTTACAACTCTGAGCACTAACCAGCATTCACTCCAAACAGGGCAGACTGGGAGCACATTCATTGTGTTGATTCACAAAGTCAGTTGCAAACCACAACAATAATAATGACAATGACAAAGATCATAGTTGCTTTATTACCATGAAGGTGTGGGAGGGGTAAGAGTTGTGAGATATAAAATGTTCTAGTAACGACCAAGGCCTTTTACATTTATACTGATGTAGCTTTTATAAACTCCCCATAATGAATAAGACTAGACTCTTTCACTGCAGCAGTGCACGAACATTACAAGATGAAGTACCCCCATTATAAAGAATTTATGGGATTCAGTACCCTAAATGGATCAGCACTAATCATTTTAATGACTATCCAAGAGCTCCAGACATAAAGCTACTGTCAACAGATATGCTTCAGCACACAAAGCCAAGTGAATTTCTCACAGGATCTGTGAGGTGTTTCCTTCACCCTTATTACATTACTAGTCTTATAACAGATTTTGTCTTAATACATGGGTAGAATCTGTTTTTAAAAATACCACCACACCATCAAGGTGGAGGAAACAGTGAACACCTGAGCTTTGACAATACTCATTCCTTGTTTGTAAGTAGAGAAAAATTTCAAAGACACAAATGCTATTGTGAGCAATTAAAAAAACGGTATTTTCTCAAAAATCACTGGAAGGATTCTATGAGATCTGACAGGAACTGCATCAAAAAATG